GCCCTTTCTTTCTCTGCCCACTATTGTGAGTGCTGCTGTGCTTATATTGTAACCACACACATACTCTGTTACATCTTGACTCGTTTATCTAGCCCACTACTGACTTTCTTGAGGGTAACACAGTCAGTATTTCATGAATATTTGGTAAACAGCCTTTGAAAAAAGACAATTCTAATTTAAAATCGTTTTCTAAGAAATGACAGGAAGTTGTAAAATTACAACTGTTCCACTGGTTAGTCTTAGTTGGTCTGCATAAGTGAGCTAAGCTATACTCAAATACTTGACTCCACAACACCTGCAGGATTCCTGTCAAAGATAAGTTGAATCTAGGTCTGCTTCCTTCATCAGACCACAGATATAAAGTCCAGCTCTAAACTCTTTATGAGCAGAGGGTCATGCATCTGCAGGATTTGAATTTGGTGCTCAGTATAAGTTTCACTTTACACAACAATGAGGAAGGCTTATGAATCTGTCAGTTCTCAGAAGGCCTCCTTGACTTCAAAACTGTTAAGCATCCATGACTCACATATGTAACACAAATGCTGGAAAGAACATGTTGATAGTTTTATGGGGAAAACCTTTTAAAAATTAAAATATTGCATACAAAATTAGTATAAAATGTTTACATGTCAATTATTATTAATTTGTTATCTCCAAATTAAGTTACTTAGAAGCTCAAAGCCAAGATTCTTCTGAATCTCTGAGTCACAGAAAAAAAAAGAAAAAGAAACAATGGCCAGTTTAAGAGTTAGGCCTTCTGATAGCTGGTGTAAAAAAATCTACTACAAAAAAAGAAGTCAAACCATGCAAGAAGATATTATCAACCACCATGCTGTAGATTTAGGTTAACTTATTTAGAAGTGTGAAATGAAATAGGCATAAGTAATAAAATAATAGAGTAACTAGAAATCCTCCTCTTCTAACCCACTTGTCCAATGTGAACAGACATCACTGATGATTTTTATGCTACTTTATAGTCATAAGCAGAAGCACATCTATGAAGATGCCATAGGTGAGAAGGCTTGATGACATCTAGAAGATGCAGCTAAGAATTTAAGCCTGAAGATGCAGCTCAGTGGTGGAACATGTACCTGGTATGCACAAGACCCTGAGCTCAACCCCACTACTAGAAAAAGGACACGTAGATCTAAATGCCTTAAATCCATAGATTGTCAAATTTCAATTTTGAGTTTTTAACATTATACAAGAGACCAGTCTTAAACCTCAGCAAACAGCACAATGACCATGCTCAACTGTAGTGAACGGTTGGTCCAGTTACAGGAACAATGTTCAAACAAAGGCCTGCACCTGTTTCTGCTGTGTGAGAGACAAACGGGAAACCCACAACCACAACTGACCAAATGTGGTTCAGTAGCACAGAGCTTCAAGTGAGACATGCTTCCACAGAGAGGCTAAAAAGATGATGATTAAATAACATGTAAAGGAAACCATATGCCTGGCATAAAAGAGGCCTTCTGTTTCCTTCCTTTAAAGATGTTGAAAATGAGTGGCCAAGACAACGGGGCAATGCTTCTGACAGAGATGCAGAGACAGAGAGAGACACTGAGACCCAGCTAGCCTAGTTTTTCCAAATGTCTGTTCTACAATTACTGCTGCTGCAGAAAAGCTGCTATGTGTGCCACAATGATTTCACACACCAGTATTAACTAGCCTTAAACAATTTCTAGCAAGGTTTTGTGTGTTTCTAATCTCTTCTCCTCTCCCTCCCTCCTTCCTCACTCTTTGCTAATCCCTCTGGTCTATATATAAATACTTCCAATGCCTTCCCTTCTACACATCCTACCACAATCACTCCCCAGCACCCTTGTCAGTGGTCTCCTATGACACTTTGCAGAGAAAACAACGGGAGTAAGAACTGAGCGGCTTACCATAAACCTACCTACATTCCTGCCCTAGCAGCCGAGATGGACTTAACTTCCCCTTAATTCCCGTGCAATTACACACTCTTCTCCGACCTCCGCCTTTCATCACCCCTTGTAGTATGGACCTCTGCTTCTCCACCACTCTTCTGTGGAGGCCCCAGAACTACTAACACCTCTCCCATTTGCATTGAAACACTCCCCAATGGGACAGTCATACTCTTCCAGGTGTTGCCCATTCCTCTCAGCGTAGCTGAAGCTTTGGAACAGAGTCACTATATCTACCATTCACCATGTCTCAACCTCTCAGTCACCCTTCAATCCAGTACTGGTCACTTGTCTGCACGAGTCAGTCACTGATGGCCTTCCACTGACTCCTAAGAGGACACATTCACTCTTAGTACTCTACCTGTCCAGCACAAATGATCCAGCAAGCTGTCTTTTTATTTCTAAAGCACCCTTCCTAATTTTGGCTTTTCTGTCACAAACTGTACTGGTTTCCCTTCTACCTTTTTAGGGATTTATCTTTTTCATAGCATCCCTTCCTCTTTGTCCTTAATTAGTAACTAATGGTGCCAGTGTTCTATACAATAAGCATCTCCCCGCCCCCGCCACCTCCCCTTTCTCTCTCTCTCTCTCTCTCTCTCTCTCTCTCTCTCTCTCTCTCTCTCTCTCTCTCTCTCTCTCTCTCTCTCTCTCTCTCTCTCTGTCTCTTTCTCTCTCTCTCTCTCTCTCTCTCTCTCTCTCTCTCTCTCTCTCTCTCTCTCTCTCTCTCTCTCTCTCTCTCTCTCTCTCTCTCTCTCTCTCTCTCCCTCCCTCCCTCCCTTCCTCCCTCCCTTCCTCTTTATTTCTTCCCTCAAGACAGGGTTTCTCTGTATAACAACCCTGACTGTCCTGTAATTCACTCTGTAGACCAGGCTAGCCTTAAACTCACAGAGATCCGCCTGCCTCTGCCTCTGCCTCCCAAGTGCTGGGAATAAAAGTGTGTGCTACCAAAAAAAATAAAAAATAAAAATAAAAAAGTACTGCCCAGCAAAAAAACTGAGACTTCTTTTCATTGTATGTGTATCGGTGTTTTGCCAGTATGTAGAGCACATCAGTTCCTCTTGAAGCAGGAGGTAGGGGTAACTGTTAGCTCCCATATAGGTGCTGTGGATTGAACCCGAGTCCTCAGACTGCTCTTAACTACTGAGCCATCTCTGCAGCCCCTGAGCACTTTGCTCTTTATTCACAAGGAACACCTGTCCCCTTGCAATCACGTACTCATCCACATGCCTAAGAAGCTTCGCCTGTCAGGAAACCCCGCAGACACCTCACCAGCCGCATCCTCCACTGCACTTGCTCCCAACTGTACGCCCTGCATCACACAGCCATTAACTGTTTCCTGCTGTCTATCTCTCAGTGCTTTGCTCTCAGGACTTACTCTAGCCCCATCCAGTCTCTACAGGAGAGTGACACTGCTAGGACGCATGTAAGAATGCACTACTCACATGATGCCTCTCCGACTTACAAGACTTATCTGCTCTATTGTCTTTATGATAACATTCAAACTCCCCAGCCCCTAATCACACTATCATGGCAATCTCCAACTTTCAACTCTTCCTGTAAACCATTCCTCCTCCTCCTCCTCCCTTGACCTCTAGATCCTTTATTTAATTTTTTAAATTAAATAATTGTATAATTTATTTAAAAATGTACCTTTTCTATTTCTCCACATCTCTTTGGTCATCTCTTTATATATACCTAAGACCTTTCGTTAAACAGCAACTCCTCTGGTTGATGTATATAGTATATGTCTATAAAGTAATCTGCATATTCCCCATAAGACACTTATTTCTTGTTGCCTATTGAACTATGTACTTTTCCCAAAGACTCTAATCAATAAGAAAGAAGCAATGTGTATGTTTTATTTACTGAAGTGTCCATAGTATCAAATATACTTCCTGGCACTCAATACATACAAGTCATTTATTGAGCTTGTTGATAATATGCAACAAACACATTTTACTAGGTTTGCAAAGAGATGTTTGCTCAAAGCCTCACAAGTAAATTAAACTTTTCTAAAAAATGCTTCCACTACATGACAGAAATACAAAAAAAGTATAAAAGGCATTTCCTCAAGATAAATATTTTAAATCCCTTTGAACAGTTCAATACCTAAGGATCACTGTATCAAGAAACATGTTTTTATGGATATGCTCTTCCATCTCAAGAAAAGACAAATTTATTTCAGTACCTGATTATCTGTGACTTATCCCCTTCAAGTTCATGGATTCTTTGTTAGAGGAGTGACTGTCATTTTAAGATATGACTAGCCTAGTACTAAATACGCCAATCCAATCACTATCTCCTGCCCCCAATGCTTCCAAGAGAAGTGACCTTCAAAGAACAAAATCGGTGGCTAGCATACCAACACATGCTTACTAATTTAGTCTAATGACAACTGGCAGCCCTCTTTACAGAATGCAATCTTATATCTAGTTAGTAAGCTAAGAGCCAAGGAAAAGTGCCATCCTCATCTGCCACAGTGACACTGAAAGGAAACTACTATGGAATGAATTGTACCTTCTCCAAATTCAGACATTGAAGTTTTGACTCCCTGTGTGATGGTATTTTGAGATGGAGTCTCTGGAAAAATAATTACATTTAACTGATATCATGAGAGTAGAACCCTCATGATGAGATGAGTCCCCTTGTAAGAATAGACACATATATCTTGCCCTCCTTCTCTCCCACCACCATGGAAGGAAATGCTGTCTATGAACCATCAGGATAGCCCTTGTTAGAAACCAACCATTATGGCATGCTGATCTTGGACTACTATCCTCTGGAACCATGAGGAAATGAGCTTCACCCTATGGTATCTTTTACAGCAGCTCTCCATATGAAGATAATGGGAATACTTGATCCACAAACCAGCTCCAATTCCATTCTGATTCAATAGTAATATCTTTTAGTCTATACAGGAATGTTGGTCCTGGGGTTTTGTTTTTGTTTTCAAATACTGACTTTTAGTTGACAACTTTAGCAAATGAAAAACAAAACAGAAATAGTGGGCCATAAAGAACTTACTAGAATGCAGTTCTCAATCAAGTAAAAATGAAATAAAAAGATACTTACCACCACCAAGAATGTAAGAATCCTGGCGGCTCCCCCAATGTGATGTTTTTTTCCCATCTTATCTAAAACAAATTTAAAGAAATATTAAATATTTTCCTTGTAGTACTTCTCCCCACACATACTACCAAGCAATGTTTTTCTCATTTAAAATGCTAAGGTGATTTTAAATTCTTCATCCTTTTCATGTTATTCTTTGTTCAGGTTTTCCAAGTACTCCTTTTACATAGTGATTAGGAGACTAATTTGGTGTGTGAGAAGATTCCACCATAATTATTGTCTTGAATTTTCTTCTCATGGCTTCAGTGATAAACATTTGTATCTTGGTGCTCCATTGGTCCATGACCAGAGAAACAGCCCAGCCATTGAAAGCATTTTCTATCCAAACCTGGTGACCTAAGTTTATTACTAGGCACCTGCCTAAAGGGAGTTGAAGAGAACCCCAGAAGCGGCTTTCTACCTCTAGATGCATGCCAAGCACATGCATTCTCCACACACGATAGGTGGGTGTACATGCACACACACACACACACATACACACGCACGTGCACACAGCATAAATAAACTGACACTAAGAATGTGTTTCCCATCTTAGTCATTCATTAACTGCCTTCCTGTTAAGTTCTCACAATCACAGAGAAGCTTTGGAAGGAGAATGAAAGTAGGAAGAAGGAAAAAGAGTTGCTAACATCAGGGTTGCTCCACCAGCAGCAATTAGTGAGGCTAACAGATGGTCCCACTCCACCTGTTTCTAGCATGAGGCTGGTTTCTTCCTTAGATGCACAAACACAACTGAACAAAACCTTTCCTCCAAGAGCAGTAGTCCAGGGTCATGAGGATCCCCTGAGCTCCTGAAGTAACTGAAACCAGGAAGCTCACTCTTTCCTTGGAGATCAAAAATTAAGCTATGCATATCTCTTACCCATGGTTTTGAAAGCAAAACCTCTTTGGTCTTTTAGCATGATGATTGCTTATGAGATGAATGATTCTATGTAAATATATCACTTCAATGTCCTTCTATGCTTTTTTAAGTAAACAGTTTAGATATTTGCCTGTGTTGCATTCTTTCTGTTGATATATTTAGTGTCTTTTTAATCAGTATGTCTGAATTCTGATTGATATCACCACACCACAGCATTTTCTGACAGAATATTTAAATTGCATTCCTTTTAAGCAGAATGAAGCACAAACATTAGCAATGTGATACAAGGAATAGTTAAGAATCTTATTTGCCTCTGTTTTCTCATCTATATAATGAGCTAATAACTACCTACCTAAAAAGGTTTTTGAGAGGATTAAACTGGAAAAATCACTTAAGACAGTGAGTACAGAAATGGTGGTAACTGTTGACTTTTGAGTAGTTTGCTTTTACCCTAAAGAACATTGTCACAAAAAGTTAATCCAGCATCATTGTCACCTATACCAAAACAACCAGTGATACATCACACCAAAACACTTGCGTGTTTACGTTTATACTTTAAAAAAGTAAACTTACTAATCAGAACAGTGTAGAATACCTTTGTGGATATCATACATATAACCAGGGAAAAGAATACAGTTGTAACCAGGGAGAGAACTGAAACAGAAGCCCAGCCTTGAGGAGCTTCCTCCCATGAGGACACAAGTCAGCAGGTGGTCAGAGCAGAGCAGGCTCTTGGAGATGAGTGGACATGGGACTGTGGGGACCTCAGAGGGTGAGTTTCAAGCCAGTGTGCAGAGGGGAGGGATGGCTGCCCAGTGGTTTCCCTCTCAACATCTCCCCCAACCCTCTATGACACCAGAAAGAAGGGACCACTCGGTGCACACAGGGAGGGGCGATGGCTGCAAAAAGCATTACAAGTGTCCTGCTTGGTTTCAATAGGAAGCTTCTGGAACAAGCTGGGTAACTGCAACCTTGATCTAGACAGAGGACCACATCCATGTGAGACACCTCTGCTGAGGAGATTCTCAGACTTCATCATCCAATCAATCTTTCTCCTCCATGCCACATCAATGGACCATGACTGTTTCTAAGTGAATTGCAGCAAAAACCTGTGACTCTTCCCAGAAGTGAAAAGGTAAAACATGACGTTTCCAAATCTCTGAAAAGGCAGAATTCTAAACAAATGCTTGCGATCCTTCTGTTGTCGTTAAAGCTGCATTCATGAGAAGTAGAGGAAAGAGGAGCCTGCTCTTTTCGGAGCTGAAGGAACTAAGAGAAGTATAGCTGGACATGCAATGAGGCTTGAGTTGAGATGAACAGCACCTGGGACGTGCTGTCCTTGTGGTTTTCTAGCCAGGGGAAAGAGGCTGAACATTCGCGCTCTTTCCTGGCAGTCCCCTGGCAGATGCTCAGCTTCCTGACCAGGTACTCTCTATGCTCCAAATGCAGATGTGTATGGTGCTGGAGTTCTAGATGGCTTAAGGTGGACCTCACTCAGATTGGAAATATGCAGGGCATTGCTTGGCACCACACTGGAGAACAAAGACAGGGTTCTTTGTATTTTAGTGAGAAAGGTTTATAATTCTGGTCTGGCTGAGAGGGAAAGTCTCTCTAATTATAAACAATATAGTAGAAAGACTAAGTATGACACACTTAAGAAGGTTCTTATACATTGAGAGGGCAAGAATAAAAGTTGTAAGAGACAATACTGAGAGATGGGACTAAATGAATAAGCAGGAACCAGATCAAGAAAAGTTTCAAGACTCAACTGAAAATCAAAAGTGCTAAAACGTCTAGAAGAAAACATGGGAAATACTTTTTTAAGACACTGGGGTAAGCAAGAAGTTTTTGAGTAGGACTTCATTAGCACAGAATGAGCCCCAAGTATCAACAGATTGGACTATGAGAAATTAAAAGGAAACTATCAATGGAGCAAATAGTCCATAGAAAAGAGGGGGAAATCTTTCAGTTACATTCCAGACTGGGGTTAACATCCTGACTTTAAAATGAAAACAAAAACAAAAACAAACCCTGCAGAAATTAAATACCATGAAACTAAAACTGCCAGTCACTGGGCGGTGGTGGCGCTCGCCTTTAATCCCAGGGGCAGAGGCAGGCGAATCTCTGTGAGTTTGAGGCCAGGCTGGACCGACAGCCTCCAAAACAATACAGAGAAACCCTGTCTCGTAAAAACCAAAAAAAAAAAAAAACAAACAAACAAAAAAAACAAACAAACAAACAAAAACTGCCAGTCAACAAATGGGATAATGAATTGAACACGTTTTAAAGAAACACAAAAGGCCAATAACTATTTCAGCATCTATAGTCATCAGGGAAATACAAATCAAAACTACTCTGAGATATCATCTCATCACAGTCATGATGCTATCATCAAGAAATCTTACAACAAATGTTGGAGAAGATACAGGGGAAAGAAACCCTACTCACTGTTGGCTGGAGTACAAATTAATAAGCCATTATGGGTATCAATTTGGAGGTTCCTCAAAAAGCTAAAAATAGAACTGCCATACGACCTAGCTATTCCACTGCTGGGAGTATGCCCAAAGAACTCTCTTTCCTTCCATAGAGATACCTGCACATCTTTATTTACTGCTCTATTTAAGAAAGCATAAGAAACAGACATCTATCAACAAATGAATTGATAATGAAGAGTTTGTAAAAATGATAAAGAAAATGAGTCTTTCAATGTAACACTGTGGGTAGGGCATAGGAGGGACTCCAGGATGGGTAGCTATGAGGAGCTGAGGGAAGGAAAGGGAAGGGATAAAGTAACAGAATTCTATTTCAATTAAAATAAATGTCAGAAAAACATAAAATTATTATTCAGGTTTAAAGAAAAAATGAAGTCACAAAACTTACAAGAAAATGGATGGGCTTAGAATGTATAATATTAAACAAAGTCACCCAAACTCAGAAAGAAAAAAAAATGGATGCCCTGCCTCATATGTAGCCTAAAATATACCACCTGTAAGTATGGGTATACTTTAACCTTTAGTATGAACACAAAGAAAGCATAATATCAGGTGGCGAGGAAAGATTAAGTCAGACAAAAGGACATGTGATCCATGAAAGAAGATAGAAAGCTAACAGTTTGGGTAGTGTCAGCTCTGTGATGTTTGTATATATATAATGGATAAGTACATAAAAATGTAATGGAGAGGGGGAAAGCAGAAGTGAATCCCCCAGCGTGAGTCAAGGCTCTAACCACAGTTCACTATGATGTACAGAGTTTGGAACTGAGCACATTTTTTTTCGGGACCTTAGTCTAGAAGTCTTAAGTATATAAGATGTAAATGAACTGGAATTTTCAAGTAAACAACTAATGTAATACAAACAAAATAAACAAACTATAACAGCAATCTTCAGAAAGCTAAATGAAAACTCAGGTAATCAAAGAAGTCAGGAAGGCTAAATGTGAACAATAAACACAAACATATCATATAAATGTAAGGTATATTTGAATTTGAATTTAGAAAATGAGCATTCTTGTCTCCTTGTATCTGGTCATTTCAGTCACTCATTCTTTGGTTCATAAACACTAAGGAATATTACTTAGCTAAAATTGATGAGAAATAAAATTAGATATTAGATGTCCTATTAGATATAATCTACTTTAAAACGTTTTTGTTGCTCTCAACTTTTTAGCTTATCAGATCTTTATGGCTCATGTCTTCATGAAAGGGTGTAAGATCACAAATGTGCCCCCAAAACATACTAATGCTCTGAGCACTGGAATTAACCTTATCTAGGAAATAACAAGGTTTTCAAAATACTGCTCTTATACTTCATGCCAGTTCACCTTGACTTTGCATAATATGCTAATGAAATAGAACAATCACTGTTCTTAATTAAAAACAACAAGTGAAATTACACGGGTTCTTAGTGCCAGGCCCACTGGAGGTAGGATTAGACACACATCTAAGCTGCCCTGCCCCCAGTCACCACTCAGTCTCCTTCCTGAACCAACCAATCAGAAGCTATTTCAGAGACAGTATACTCTGAGAAGCCACCTATATGTGTTTCACTGATAGTCTTTTATCACAAGAAGCCCGAAGGTAATCAGTGAGTGTTTTAAAGCATCCCATCTTATTATTCCTTAAAGAAACTCAAAATGCATGACAC